TATGAGCTTTACTCCATATTGAGTAACAAAAGACTAAAAATCATGTGTCTTCAGATACAACGAGTAAAAGTGATAGCTCAATTTTAACATCAATTCAGTCTCACAAACAAAACCCTGGCTCTATCTGTAGATAGGAAACACTCATTCAGACATATCAAGCAAACTCCTGAGGAATTCCATTTATAAATAAACATGCATTTCTATGGAGCACAGGTAACCATGTTGTTGAAATAATCGCCGTGGTAACAACTTCTGACAGTTCAAATTGCTTTATTTTAGGATGATACTAAACACATTTCCCTTAGTTATCTGATAGACCTTTCTATAAAACTTCCTCTTATCCTTCAGTTTTAATACATCAGGAATGGATGTATATACTCTAATACATCTAGTCTACTGCACTGCATGAAGGATCAATAATGTTCAACATGCATTAAATGCAATAATCATAGAAAAACTTTTTCACCATGAGAAAACTACAGAAAGCAAACCCCAACAAACAATATCAATCAATTTACAAAATTAAAGCAATGTTCTTTTTGCATAGAGCAAGGTTGACACACTGCAGAACTGACACACCAAGCCTGACACAATCCAACATGGACACACTGCAGGATAAACACACATAAAGACTGACAGAATGCAAATTTGACACACTGCAAGATTGACACGTTTCAAGACTGACACAATGCAAGATTGACACGTATCAAGACTAACACAAGGCAAGATTGACACACTGCAGGATTGACACATATCAAAAAAAAACAGACACACTGCAGGATTGACACACTGAAAAGTTGACACAAAGCAAGGTGAATACAGTCTGTTTCAAGATGACATCATTTCTCATAAAACTCTAACTACTTAACTCTAAACTCTTTAATGACAAAAGCCATCCATTTTACGTGGGCCTAACAGGAAATTGAAATTCACTGTTGTTTCATTATAGCATTAATCACAAGATGTAAAGCTTTTGTAATTTGACGGAAAAAGCATAACCATATTACGCGAGACCTTCGATAGAATGTTATTGATAATTTTTTAATACGGCGAGTGATATACTATGTATGTGTGTCTAAGATGTATCAATCGGCTGTTAAATGTATCTTCTTAGATAATATAGGGAAGACCATTTCACATGACTGATAGGAATTTAAATAACTATAATATGCATAATTAGACTAAATATGAGGTTTTGCACAATCAAAGACCGTATGTCCAGGGTCCCAGATATGAGTCCTACCTTAAAACAAAACCCACAAACGCATTCCTTTTGGAAACATTACAGATAGGATACCATGCAATAGTTTCCTTAAATGTAAGAATGCGTTTAATGTTTTTGATTGCAAAAATTCAGCACTATATGATTGAAAACTTTCAATTAGGATAGCTTTATGAGCATGTGTGAAAATCTAAACTTCAAAATGCTGTATCATTTTACGCCATTGTAGCAATTGTAACAAAGTTGTATAGATGGAGCAACTGACCTAGACTCACTGATGGCCCTCTAATTCGCAGTTCTCGCTGCAAACATTCTCCATTTATCAAATTGTCAGCGTTATTAATCAACTTTAATCAAGAGATATATCTAGCAACAAGGGCTCATATCAGAAAAACCTTGTCAACATTTCAAACCCTACATACATTCCTTTTGTATTTCTGATATAACAAACTATAAGTTGAGAAAACATTTATTATTATAAACATAATATTAAAGCTCATTGAAGCAAGATTGTTTCTCTCAGTTTCATAGTTTTTTTCATGAGAAAGTATAAGCCGCAAGCATGAATGTAAGATCACTAGACTATTAGCATATATAGCACCATACAGTACCTCATGGAGGGATAAAGCCAATATCAATTTTACACAAGGAATAAGCTTCTAGGGACCATGCAAAAACGCTCGTCATTTACAGAACAGTCAATTTTGAAAAATTGTGAATTTGATTTTTTTACCGTCTCACTACATTATTGTTAACAGACATTTTGAATCCTTGAAAGAAACATGTTATAAAGAGTATAGGTGGAATAGGAAATTCTGATTGCAGTTAATCACAAAAGGATATCACTTTGATATGGCCCCAAACAATCAATTTCTGCAAAAGCAAATGAGCCAAGAAGAATCTTTTCTAAATATTCCATTTCATTCACACATATAGCAATGAACAAGATTCATTTGAGATCTTATGATGGCAGAAATCAATCTAAGGAAATAATGGTCACTAAAGATAAACAACAACATGCAAAATGTCACTACCAGCCATTTGTTATAGACACTGAACACCAAACGCCGAATGCCGAACACCAACCACCAACCATTGAACATCATCCACAAAAAAGTTGGAGACTATAAAAACATATCATCACTTTTGGTGGTGACATAATAAAAGATAATCAAAAAGTTATTTCTATTAATTTTGCTATTTCTTCATTTTTAGGAAGCATAAATCAAATATGATAACCATATCAGATCTTTCTATTTCTCTTTCTATTCGAAACTGAGATATACATGTATCATGTCTATTAAGTAGATCAGGACATTTATGCTTCTAGTATGATTTATAATGTTGGATTATTTGTGTTTTTCAAACTGTTACTTGTGCTTGCTCAAGAGAACATAAATATGCATTTTTTGAAAGAAAGAGTATATCAGCAAGTCAGAACCAGAGATTGATTAAAGAGGATTTCTTAAATTGATGATTACTTATTTTAGCTTTAAATCCAAACATAATATATAGTTTAAAGCCTCAGGTACATTTGCTCTATGCGCCCATACAGCGACCGCAGCTTCACAAAATTGATATAGAAAATCTACATTGTACTGCTTATCCCTTTACTCATGCTGCATATTTCTTTCGATTTTGGGAATGTATGGCCACCGTACGGGTGCTGTAGATGAAATGTGACTAGGACATAACTGTAAAAGGAAAAACAAATTATAGTTTAACGCTTATCAGGATCACAATTTTAAAAAAATTATCAGTAATAATAATCCAGGGGTAGTTTGGCTAGCTGATGGGCTAGAAAGAGTAAAGAATCACTTATTAAAAATAATTATCTTGGTAAATCCCTGTTGATTTGTCTTGAGGTATATGGACCGCTTCTGTTTCCTTTATATGCTTAAAGCATAGAAATCATCAATCACTCCATTCTTGATAATGGATTTCAGAGTCTGTCTCCTTTCTCTCCCTAAGGAGATGTCTGCTAAGATCTAAGCTCCCGAGGGAGATATCTACTAAGACTTAACTTGATTGGCATAATATCACATTACAATATACAAGGAAACTATTACAGTATTTAAGGTTTTTAGGGATTATCGTTCTTTAGCCTTGTTACAGTACAACTCTGCGTTTATTCAAATGTGACAAAATGAAAAGATTTACACAAATGACAAGAGTTTTATGTTCCTAACTGATCGTTTAACAAACATAAATGTCACAAAATCCTTTTTCTAAAACCTATATACAACACAAAATTAAAATTTATAATTAAAAATATCTTTAAAGTATCATAAAATCAAACATAATCAGTACAGTCATCATTCTCTCAGTTAATGATGATAAAATAAATAATAAAAATCAAAGTAAAATGATATTTTAGATGGTTTTGTAACCAGTCTGTAGTTTATATAAAGTCATATATCTGTACTAAACAGTTAAAAAGACATACAGTATGCGATGTGTGATATATGGGTATTACTGGGGGGTTCTAACTTGTGGGTTTACACTCCATTTGTGTAGAATCAATAAATAAACATAAACATGTTAAAGTGTCTGGTTAGTACTAAACATCATGAATAAAACCTTTCTTTAAAAAAAATAATACCAGTCATATTGTATTCAAAACCACAGACTCTTTGACAGACATTTTTGAGATAAATTAAGTAGTGAAGATGAAACTTGATCATGATATGAATATATATGAATTTATAGTTTATATCTAGAACGCTATATGTGAATATCAATTCAAATACTTCCAACGCATATTTCTATAATTTAAATCTCTGTTCAGATAACAAGTACTGGAAATGTTACAAAGATGAAACTGATGTTTTATGTAAATTTCCCACTTCAGCCCTAAATACAGCCTCATTCTTACACATCCATCTAAAATCATCAATAGACATTTTGTTCAATTTAGGCTTTTATTTCAGGAGTACAATGCATAACTATATATATGTAACATTGTAATTGAAAGCGGACATAAAATGCCAGAAGGCGATTTGCCGCATGATTGTGTATTATGCCATGAAAAATATATCAATGAAATAAACCTATTGTTAAAAAAAAAAAAACTACCATCATTACATATAAATGTGATATATTATTTTGTTCATGTTCAAAAATGTTTAAGTGAAATGTTAGAGCAACCCTTATACATGCTGCATGTACTGTACAGTATTCTTAACACTTAAGTTTGTAAATAAATTAGTCTGTCAACAGGTTTATATGGATAATACTTCACCATTGTATGCCTTGTAATAAAGATAAAAGAAATATGATATATATACAGTCCTTGTAGTAAAAACATTTATTTGCGATATAATGACGTATGGCATCAGGTAACGTTTATAGGGTGGGGGACACTAATCAATTATTACTAAGGTAGCTTTTATGAACTAGTAGATGAATTACAAAACAAACAAAAAACAGAGAACAACTTATAGTGATACTTTGTTAAATGAACATGTTCAAATGGTGAATACTTCATAACATGAACATGTTGATAAAGTACATATTTTATAACAAGAATACTTTTAAATACTGTAACGGGAATACATTCAAATAGGAATACTTTGTAACAAGAACACTTTCAAATAATGAATACTTTACAACAAAAACACTCACAAATAGTTCATATTTTGTAACAAGAACACTTTCAAATAATGAATACTTTACAACAAAAACACTCACAAATAGTTCATATTTTGTAACAAGAACACTTTCAAATAATGAATACTTTACAACAAAAAACACTCACAAATAGTTCATATTTTGTAACCAGAACAATTCCAAAGAGGAAGCCTTAACAATTTAAGGCTTAAATTAATTAGTCGTGCTTTTATAAGGTGAAATTACGAGGCTAAAATCAAAATCAATTTGAATGTCAAACAGATTATGTCATTGCAATGAAATATCCAGTTTCTATATCACGAATAACTTTATCCCAAGGAGAGACCCTACCATTCATTGCAACATATACCCCAGTGCCCTCAATGCATCTCAGTGCACCAACAGCGACACCTATATTAAACTCTGCATCAGAATCTTTGAAAATCTCAGGCTTTTTGGCTCCAGTAAACACAATAAGTTTTCCTTTGTTATTATCTGCAACGAAGGAGGCAGAATCAATCAATGTATCAGTGCCATGAGTCACCAAAATTTTCTGAATGGGTGATGCTTCGATGACCTTCACAAGCTGTTTGCGATCATCCAACGTCATTTCCTGGCTGTCTTTCTTGCAGATTGTCTTGAACTGGAAATTCCCAGACAGTGGAAGGCGCGTAAGGATCTTCTTTGCAGCAGAGTCACAGATCTCAAATGCATACCCACCTGTGGCTCTTGGGTAATCCTTGTCTATTGTGCCTCCAGTTTGAATCACAAGAACCTCATCACTCATCGTGGCTGTGTTTCTGCTATATTGCCTTGTTCATTTATTGCCCTACTTGTTGCTGAGCTTTTTTGACACCCTGTACTGTTCTGTGGCTTATGTAATATTGCTCTGCTTGTAAAGTATGTAGTATTTACAGTATTGTCTTATCTGGGTAATATCTTATTTATACCAATATATTGTCTCCTTCAATGGAATGTTGTCTTATTCATGTTCCCTCTTTTTGTATACAGGATACTGTCAAATCTGCTTCTGGATTTATTGTTATTAAGTTTACACCTCTGATGGTTGTCTTTGCCTCTTATGATTGTAATTCTTTGCCTCTTATGACTGTAAGTATATACCTCTGATGACTGTAAGTCTTTCCTATATTGTCTTGTCTGCAACCAATGAGTGGACTTTGATGCCTCTAGAGTTAAATACATCAATTTCTCAGATTGTTAGATAAAACTTGAGCTGATATATATAATAGAATCAATCTTATCTGTACAACTGCTCTTCATTCTTTATTACTGACTTGCAGTGACAGTGGTAACATGTAAATGTACATATGTACCTGTATATATTCTACTGTGTTGTTATAGCTAAAATTCACATCTATTGCAATATAGTGCTGCATACAAACCAGAATCGTTACCTTTGTATTTAAGATTTCGGACCGTAATTGTTGATTTTGATATTTTTAGATTTCATCGAATTAAACGACTTCATATTGCTTGATACTGACCAGTGCTTATATGTTTGGTATTCCTGTTGCAATATAGAATTGGGAAACTATGCAAGCTTGCGTTCTAACAAGACTTGATGCAAGACTAGCCATTCGTATTTGCTCCAAAAATTTCTGGCAAAAATATCTCTAAATTTGGCCCATGTTTAAGAAAAATAGGGCCTAATGTTTGTATCCTGCATAAAGGCTCCATTTTCATTCTCAAATTTGAACCATTTTCTCAAAGGAAACTCATCTTCATGGAGTTTTATATTAAATGTATGCTTACCTAGCTGCATTAGCTCAGTGCTGAGAACAACAATCCTGCAAACATCATCTCATAGCAAACATATCTGAAACAACAAAACAACAATTTTGCAGATATTGTCTAATAGCAAACATATCTGAAACAACAAAACAACAATTTTGCATATATTGTCTCATAGCAAACATATCTGAAACAATAAAACAACAATTTTGCATATATTGTCTCATAGCAGACATATCAGAAACAACAAAACAACAATTTTGCATATATTGTCTCATAGCAAACATATCTGAAACAACAAAACAACAATTTTGCATATATTGTCTCATAGCAAACATATCTGAAATAACAAAACAACAATTTTGCATATATTGTCTCATAGCAAACATATCTGAAACAACAAAACAACAATTTTGCAGATATTGTCTAATAGCAAACATATCTGAAACAACAAAACAACAATTTTGCATATATTGTCTCATAGCAAACATATCTGAAACAATAAAACAACAATTTTGCATATATTGTCTCATAGCAAACATATCTGAAACAACAAAACAACAATTTTGCATATATTGTCTCATAGCAAACATATCTGAAACAATAAAACAACAATTTTGCATATATTGTCTCATAGCAAACATATCTGAAACAACAAAACAACAACTTTGCATATATTGTCTCATAGCAAACATATCTGAAACAACAAAACAACAATTTTGCATAAATTGTCTCATAGCAAACATATCTGAAACAACAAAACAACAATTTTACATATATTGTCTAATAGCAAACATATCTGAAACAACAAAACAACAATTCTTCATATATTCTCTCACAGCAAACATATCTGAAAGAATACAGGATACCAATCATAAAATATCTTATTCTAGCAATAATATGTTTCTTTACTATTTTTCATTTCCTGTACCTAACTTATTATAAATTAACAGAGAACCTGATGAACATATATAGACAATGAAAAGAAATGAATAAAACAAAGAAATTTTCAGGTTCAAAACAGTCAAATTTTGAAAAACAACTGAAATTTCGCTTGAAGTAAGCTTTGCGGTGAGATTTTGGTTTTCCTGATTGTAGTAAACAGTTCAGAAATGAAATGAAATAACCTGAATTAAAAAGATTCAATAAATTTTTCAGTAGTATAAATCAAATAAATAGATATTGAAATTAATAACATTGGTTACTTGTTATATCTCTTTATTAACTTTTCCTCGAGGATATTCAAACAGACCATTGAAACTAACTATAGGAGGCGCCACCCAGCTGTTTTAGGAAAATTTGTTGACTGATATTTGGAGCATCCCTAGGCCCTTGGAAGATGGTGCATTTCTAAAGCACAAATTATTTGATTTATCTTCTAGTTGACTTTTTAACCAAGATAATATTTACGTATGTTGTCAAGCTATGTTCATAATCATGTTCCCCTTTCACTTCACAACTTTACTAAATGGAAAATTCCCAGTGAAACATTTTATCATGTTTTCAAAGTCATTTTATAGTCTCTCTATTATGAATGAAGTGTATTTTTTGACTAACATTTGACATACAACAGCTCAAATGTTGATCTATAAGGTATGAATGTATAGCTAGCGGCTTGAAATGTAAGAAAAAAACATCCTATCTTTGAGGTTCAAAACAGGTTTGAAAGCAAATTGATATGTACACACATGATAAACACTAGCTAGGCCATCATTTATCCTGATATGTTTAAAAAACAATTTTATATTAGTGAATGTATCACCGCCCAATTTAATAAATCAACAGGTACAAATCATTCATGCTAAGGGGTGGTGTCAAATTTTCAACAGATGTGGAAAAAATGAAGTCAATTTTGTTATGGTTCTCCTAGCTCCCTTTAAATAAGGAAATTTTATAATATTCTTTCACTTGAATATTAAAGCAAATAAACACTGTGCTCACAAAATCATCATTTGTCCATCTATCATTTCTTTATTCTGCAGATTTTGAGAAAGCTGTCCTGCTACATTCTCATGCATACTGCTACCTTCTCGTGTGTATTGAATTAATACGTTTTTTTATCTCTAACATCCCCCCCATTTCAAATGAGGTGGTAACAAAAACTTGATACAAAACTAAAAGGTATCTTTTATAAGGTAGATTTCCAGTCCCTATATCCTATTCAAATCTGAAGTAAGAATTAAAAATTCATTTTACTCATAATACCTCATTGAAAATATCGTCTTGAAATCAGTGAAAAAATAAGAGGAATGTAGTCCCGGGGGGTTCACTATATATAAACCTTGACGGGGATCCTCGGCGCATGTGGGGTACCTTTTTCAACGTTTGGTATGGCAATGGACCCATATTTTAGGATTTGGTATGGGAATGCCCGGAAATTTCTGACTTTTGAGGTATGGCAATGGTCTAACTTTTGCTCTTCTGGTGTGAGAATGGTCGTTGTAGATACGTTACCTACCATTCGTGGTATGGCATTGGTCCAGTAGTTGCAAATTTGAAGTTGTTTTTGATTGTTTCTCGAAGTATCTTCTTTTCTAGGGCCTTCTTCAACTTTTGAATTTTAGCCCTTTTCCCGGGAAATGAGGACCAATCATAGGCTTTGATGAAGTCTCGCGAGATATTTCGTGATTTCAATACAAAACTTGCCGCCAAGAAAACTGGACGCTCGATTCGAAAAGTGGTTGATTTCCAACTATTGATATTTGATATTTGGACATTTGGTATGGCATTGGTCATACATTTTGACATTTGGTATGGTATTGGTCCCATAATTGGACATTTGGTATGGCATTGGTCCTATATTTGGACATTTGGTATGGCCTTTGGGCGTTATTTTGGTTGGTATGGGAACATATTGAAATTTGACAGATTGGTATGGGAACATATTAATATTTGAGGCTTCAGCCTAGGACCCCCGTCGAGTTTTATATACAGTGAACCCCCCGGGAATGTAGTGGGTGATTGAATTATGATTAGACATCAAGATGAGTAAATAACCTGTCATCTTTCAGTCAGAGATGAATGGAAATTTTATCTCAAATCACTGCTAGTTTTTGTTTGAGTAGATCAGAAAGTTAAAGCCCATATATCTTTATGGTGCTGATTGACCCATGTGTCAAAGCTTGTCCTTATTTGTCACTTTCTATGCTATCTTAATGCTAACTTATTAAACAAATATGAAATAATCAGGCTGAAGAGTTGTTTATGCGATTTATGATCAGCTATGTTTGTAAGCCTTCACTTGGCAAAGTGATATATCTAAGTTGATTATTTTGGTGATCGTTATTTGCATAAATACAAGTATGTAGGTGAAATTTACTTTGTAATATTTCCAAATTCTTTTTTAGATTCAACTTCATTCTATTTGATATTGGAAAAATAGCCATAACTAGATGTCATATTCATAACCATTCTCCTGGTAGTTTCATACCTTCATCCTCTCTTCAGATTCTAAATTCAGGCATGAGGCGTAATTGCACTGGATGAAATGCAAGTAGATTGGCTCAAGTTTAAGGTACCAAAATTAAATTTTCATGATCAGTGGTTATAATTAAATGCATTGCACATTTATTTTTAACAAGTTTGATATTCAAAATGTACCTGGCATTTTAGAAAGCTTAAACATACACAATCATATATTTTTACAATATATATTTAAAGTGTACATAAGATGATGATCTTGTGAGTACTTGATATTCCTATACCCTATAAAGCACAAAGAAAACGATCAGATTTCAATGTTGTAAAAAACACCACTTTTATTCAACAAGGTTTGTTTGCTGTGCTTTGTAAATGAACAAAAGTTTCACTGCTCCATCAAGTCAAATATTTAATTGAATTTCTATTGGCAAAGACATCGCATTTACTTTGCAACTTTTTTAAAGACTGTGAAACTTCAAACCACATAAAGATTCTGATATATAAAAGTAATATTTCATTATTCATTATAGCTTTGATATAATCAATCTTTGTGACTTAAAACACTTTTAAACTATTCACAAACTCAAAGCAAAATAAAATTAAAGAGTTATAATCAGAAAATATGAAAGTCTGTCATCAGTTTGTGTACTAAGCAACATTAAATTATCATTTTTGGATGACGTTCAAAATGAGCTAAGAATTCAGGAAAAAGTCCATACAGATTAACTAAAATAAAATGAAGACATCAAAAAACACATTTTCATTGACTTCTGACTAAGTTTGCTTTATATCATAGTAACTCAACTTTTCTTCCATTGCTAGAATTTTCTCCAGGGATGTTTTATTTGCAATGTTTATAGGTAAGCCACACATGATTAATTCATAGTCAATGAAAAAATCAGTTTGCTTTTTATTAGAGAAATCACGAACAAAAAAGTTACCTACTGATGTGATATTTACATATTGATCTTCAAACAAACTTGTTCTTATTATCTTATTAATGTATTTTTTCGATTGATATTAATATCAGAAAATGATTCCTTGGAAAACATATCATTTCTAATAGATAGATTGTCCTGAAGAAGAGCCATTGTTTGATTCATAACAAATCCCTCAAACAAAACCTCACATTTGGCAGACTATTCTGATAGTTTCAAAGTTTAAAACATACAAAATAGAGATTTTTGACTAATAATTATTACATCTTCATTCCAAAATACCTTTTTATGCCTTCCAAATATATCATACAAAGGATTAGGACTTAATGCAAGTATATACAGTGGTCAAGGGACAATCATTATGAAAGCATGGAGTGAGGTCATAGCCATTTTCAATTAATTATAGGTAACATTTTAAAAAAAACAATCTACATCTCATAATATACTTCTGATACAGCATCTTTCTCACAGTAAAATTACAAGAAGTGAACTGAACATAGATACATGTGTTTAGATAATTTATGCATTTTCGTAAGTCAAATCAACAAACTTGTATGTTACAAAGCATGTTACAAAGTAAAGTCTGATGATAATAGATCTGAAGAATTTCTTCAAACTTCCTAGCAGCAGGTGTTATCAATTGCAAGTACAGTGAAACCTGTATATATTGAACATCTGCAGTGAAACCTGTATATATTGAACATCTACAGTG